AAATTTGTGTTCAATGGGTATGATATCGGTTAACTGCTGACTACAAATAGTAGCGAGTTCATTTTTACCGAGAGATTTGAGAGGGATTAATTCCGTCTTATATTCGACATTGTAATTGCTGACGAATCATGGGATTCTACAATTATCATTCAAACAACAAAAGAACGGTGAAAAAACTATAGATTTGATATTCTTAATTCAGAATAGGAATACATAAAATAGTCTGATATTTTTACGATTAGCTATTCTCTTTAAGACATATTTTTAACCACTCTTTTTGAAGTATTTATAATCCATGACGATCTACATGATGTAGCCGGATCCACTATAGAAGCAATTAATCAATTGAAAAAGTCCCCTTGTGACTTCTGACAGTGTGAATTACTTTCGAATCAGCATTTCTAAGAGCTAGCGAAAAAAAATATTTTTGTAGTGCGTAATAAAATAATTTTCATACTGAGTAATGTCGATAATTCTGGATAATTATATGGCATAATATATAGATTAACGGTTGTTAAATTTGTACTTGCTTTAAGATAACCAAATGGTGAACCAAGTTCAGTTGGACCAAGACGAGATGAACCTTGAACAAAAACCTCAAATCAAAAAAAAAACGAAATAATTTAATTTTTTATTTTTAAAAATATTCAATATACAGGCCAAGCCATTGTTGGTTGTCGACGTTCAAGTATATATTGTGTTAATGGTGATGGTTCTAATTCATATTTATCAAATGGAAATTTATCTGTAACTGTTGTACATGGAATTGTTTGAAATTTAATTAATGCATGTGCTGATCGTGATGGTAGGGAAAGCATTGCTGCTGTTGGCCAATAATCTTCAGGTATGGGCCAATTATATTCTGTTTTTTCTGTTTTAGGTAATGAACGTGGAATCATTATCATTTTTCGACATGAATGCCATGCACATCGTTCATTATCTCCTATGATAGAAGTAAAGAAAATTTTTTGTTTTAAATTCAATTATCTTTTTTTTGTTTTTGATACCTTCACTAATAACTTTTTCTAAATTAACAACAACACCAATTTGAATTTTTTGTACAAGAGATTCTAAACATTGTAGAAGTGCTCGTTGAGATGTTATTAAATAGGAACGACCTACAAATAAAAGAATATTTGTATTCAAAAATATTTTTGTCATTTACCACCGGTTACATCACACATAGCAGTGATTGGTTGATCAATAGCAGCTGGAATAAATTGATTAGCAGGTGCATCACCTATACCAGGACCAGTTGAATTACCAGGAATTCCAGCTAAAACTATTGATGAAGCAGTTGCAGGTAATGCAAGTACAATAGCAAATAAACGTTGATCCCATCGAAATGGTTCTTTTGTTAATTCACTACCTAATGGTCCTGTATTCATTGGAATATTAATCTAAACAAGATTTTGAATAGATACAGAAAAGAAATATATATATATATATTACTTCATTTTGTACACCAGCTAATGTAGTTAATTTTTGTTTATCTGTAATAACAATAATAAGTGATGGTTCGAGTAAATGTGGAAATCGACCACATCCATATGTATCATGATCAGCTGCATGTCGATTAAGATTAAGTAAATCAAAAGCTTGTTTTATTGCTGAACCCATTTGAGTTAATCCAGTTGCTTCAAGACTTTTTAATTGATTAGTAAATACAGTCATAGGTTCTTTCCATCCGACTTTAACATTTGTTGGTGGTTCATCAAGTGTTAATAACATATATCGATCTGTTCGAGCGGCACCAGCATCACGTTGTCGTATCTATTTATATAGATAGAAAATATTACGTAAAAAATAGAAGAAGAATAAATTATTTCGAACTTTAAGAAATTGTTCGATAGCTCCTTTGCCAATATCAAAAAGACTTGTACCAACATGAGTCATTTGATTCATTGATGCTGAATTATCAAGAAGAAATATAACTACAGGCATTTTCTAATTTATTTAATTGATACTATGAGCCTAATGATAAATAAAACGATCTGATAGATTTATTGTTGTTTACTATCTTATAGTTCCATTGGTTAAAGACCATTCACAGTAACCTATGTGATAGAGGACGCTAGTTGATGATGTATATCTGATATAATTTATTATTCTGAATAGAAAATAATCTACAATGCTTTTGCAATATTAATAATTGATAATCAAAAAATTAAAAATTCGTTTGTTTTATTAAAATTTCGTCGTCGAATTTATTCGACGTTCGATTATAACAAGCCAAAATCCTTTAGTGTTCTTGCAAGATATCTAATGACAAGCAGTGCATAACATTTTCTTAAGGGCTCCTTCTTTCGCTCTCATGATTAACGATGCACCAATTCCTAGGATATGATGTCAATTATGATTTTTTTCTTATTAACGAAATTTTCGAAGTCGGCTGAAAAGTTGTAATTTTGAGGATTTTTTTTTTCGAGTGATCCCAACTGATTTTGAGATCTTTTTTTGTATTAAACAAAGAATAAGAATATGATCAGAAAAAGCGTTCAAAACTGGTCACAACTAATATGAACAATCGCTGAGAGTTCAACGATTCTCGATACTGGGCATTTATTTTTGTCCGCAGGGATAAATCAATTTCTCGAGTTTCTAATCGAAGATAAGAATATGTCCTATATTGAGACTTACTGGATTCCTTTCGATTCTTCATGCGAATTGTGATTAGTTTTGAACGCTCTTTCTGCAACTATCCTTAGGTTTTGTTTCAATGCAAAGCACATATCGAATAGTCAGTTGAAAAAAAATTAAAAATTGTGAATTTTCGACCGATTCGGAGAGATTTATTTTATGTTTCATGAATTTGAATAGAGCAAGAAATCTAATAGGATGTGGGGGTGTGATGTTGTTTTTCACACCCACACCCACACTCACCCTCAACACAGAGATTGATAGTTAAGAATGATTAGTTTGGCTCTAGTGATGAGAAACGACACGAAGTAAATAAGTTTCGTTATTTCATTCTCTTGCTTTCTGTTTCACTCTTTATTTTCTTTGACGATTATACAAATTTCGTTGAGATAAGGTAAAACAATCATATACAACAGCAGGAACCATGCAAAGCAAACTTCAGCTTCAATTTGTCTTTTCCATCCTGAAGTACGCTTTCGTTACGAAAATGTTTTAGAATGTTTTTCGTTTGTGAAATCTCGCTGTCTTTTCTCAATAGTTCATCAACTGCACCGAGTTACGAATCTATGAAACCTGTTGAGCAAACAAAACGGATTCTAAAAAGTCCAAGAGAATAGGGTATGAATGTGGATATGGAGAGTTTTGGGTCTGACTATTGACTGTTTTTTTTTACATCCACACCCTTTTTTAATTATTCTAATCGATCATCTTCATTAATTTGATTCAAATGGGTTACAGTCAATGATTGACTTGGAGCAAATAGATGATTGCCATCTAAATGACATTGAAGTAAAGATCTGCTGTCACCTGGCAATGCCAAACTTGTTTAGTTTGAATGAGATCAAAATTGGATAATAGGAGATAATACCGTTATCAAAAAATCTCTATTACATTTGTCATAAACAGAATGATGTAACGAAAGACCTGAGCGAAACTCCTTCTATATTAAACATTGTTTTGTATTTCTTGAACAGCGATTCAATCAAGATCAAATGGCTCAACAATTGATACTAATTCAGAAAAATGAGTCCCAAAAATGAGGCAGGTCGAAAAGAATGAACATTAAGAGTTGTCAAACCCAATGTTTACATTTACAAGTATCACTGCAAAAGAGTTCAATCATTTATTTTTTTGTTTACATGGAATTTCGACTGATTGACCATAAATGAATTTTTGTCCTAGTTGAATTGGTAATAACAATTGAGAACTTTGCCGAAGGTTGCAGTGAATGTATTCACACAATGTGTACGAGTTCCTAGGATGAGTGCTCAGATTACTCGCAAGAGGACTCATGACAATTCATGCATTGTACGAAAAATGCTATCTTCATAGAAGAAGAAAAGAACTAGTGATCAACATTCAATTGGTATTGGGCACACAATACACAACAAATTGCTATGATTACTCTGAATAAGAAGATTGTTGATCGAAGTCATTAAATTGCTTATGGAATGATGTGCAAAAGATTTGCGTTACAATGACTTTAACAGCAAATATTTCAAAGAACTATTAATACTTTTCTAACTGACAGATCTTTCTTAAACGCTTGAAATTTCATTTAACGAACATGGCTGCTGTTTTGAATCCGATGAAATCGATTTAGTCACTCATTTACTTTCAGTCTCCGTCGCCCTGAGAGAATGTAATACTGTTCGATATTTTCGTCAGGAGAAAAAATATCCAAGAAAATTGATTCAAACCAGCGTTCAAGCTTCTAACTGCAAAATATCTTACTGATATCATTAGATACGTGTTGTTTCACTATATAAAGTCAAATCGTATCCAAATCTTTAACTATCATCAATTATATGCGACTTTTTCAATTTAATTTCAGCTATTCGTGTTGAACACGGATCATTATCGAGTTGAATGTGAACAGAAACTAAACAATGCATTCGAATTTCTGAATTGATTTTTCGTGCACGAAAAGAAGGAAAATAATCTATGTTGTTCCTTGCTTTAACAAGAAACAGAGAGTATGTCGTATCATTGCACATAAAGCTTTTCTTTTGTTTAACAGACTGAGTAAGATGCACGATTCACATATGAAAAAACTTATTTCTTTTGATCAATTGAAACTATTAGAACATTCTATCCATGTGAGCTCTTGTACAAATAAATGCTTTCAAAGAACCCTTTATATTAGATCGATTTGAATCTTCAACCATTTTGCTAGTATAACTTTATTTTATTTCATTTTACACTTAGGATTTAAAAAAAAAAGATGAAACACATGATCATCACCACCTTGAAATCTCTCCTTCTTCTATGCACTTCAATGTTATTGGATTTTCTTCTGTGTTTGTCCTGAAGAACAGAACAAGTATCAGATGCAGAGAAGACTAATATACTTACCTGTGTCAACATGAACTCGTATTAAGTGCAAATTTTTGCACACGATGATTATAATGATCGACGACATAGAGATTTCCTTCAAGATCAAATGATAAATCAGTGGGTCCACTAAGTTGATCAGATTGCGAACCTTGGCCACGACTACCAATAATGACACTGCCTGATTCAGCTCCATGTGGCCACCGCATTAATCGGTGATTATTAGTATCCGCCACATAAACAGTGCCCAACGCATCGACAATAACAGCGCGCGGGAATGATAAATGGTTTGATCCATGACCATGAGATCCACCAGCAACAATCGAAAGTTGTGTTGTTCCTTCATCCACTTTTATTACTCGGTGATTATGGGTGTCGGCTACATAGACAGATCGATTTCGATCAATAAATAATGTATTAGGTTGATTTAGTCCCGAAATGATCACTTGTCCAATCGTATCACCAACATGCCTTTTCTTCACTTCACCTGTGATCGAGTCAGACACGTAAAGTGATCCTTGATCATCTTGTGCTATACCAAAGCTAGAGATATTTTCAATAATTGTTTCTCCATTTTGAGCACCTTGAGACCATCGCAAAATACGCCGATTGCCATTGTCACTTATATACATTGTTTCATCTTTATCGACCAAAACATCGGACAGTTCATTCAATTGATTTATATGGTTTCCTTGTCCATGCCCACCTGCTACTATTTGACCAATAGAAACGCCACGATACCATTTCACTATACGATGATTTTCCCAATCTGCAACATGAATAGTGTGATTTTCATCAACAACGAGGCCACGGGGATAATACAACTGATTAAGTGCAGATCCTGGACTATTAACACCAGCCACAGTAGTAGCACTTTGAATCCATGTCGCTGTTGCAGAAATGCCATCACCAGGTTTCGATGGTAAAAATGGAGCTAAATCAATGTAGAGAACTAAAGACATCGATTTCTCAAGTAAAATAGATCTTTTGTATAAATATTCATATCACACTGTAAGATTTTTCTAGCAAAATGATACAAGGACAGTGAATATGGTTAGACGATTTTCATGAAACAAATTTCGAATAAATGAATCTGCAATGTCACTATCAATAGTCTATTTCAAATGAATGACAACTATTCGTCGAGTTGAGACACACAAATGTCATCTATCTCATCAACTAAAATCGAATTTCTCTCCTACTGAACAGAAAATATCCCACAGTTAAATTCTATGGAGTTTCATAGTACTCGATAAAAAATACAATAGATTTCTATAGGAAACGGCAAGATCTCCGAGATTCTCACAACTTCCCATGAAGATGTTGTATCTCGGATTTCCGTAGAAATGGATGGTATCGCATTCCATAGGTTTCCACATCGAATTCCCTAGTTTCGATGGTAATTGAATTTTGTTGTTACCCATGGAATTATATAGGAATTTCTGTTACATCCCACAATTTTCCTGCTAGATTGTCCTCACTTAGTCTTTCGCCTTCTCATCTGATTGCTCTCATCATATATCCTTTCGATGCTCTGCTAAATAAGGTTCCAAACAGAACCAAAAAGTGCTTTAGTATCGAAAATAATTAGACAACTCTTGCTTCTCTTACTTGATAGTGGTGGACAGATTTGTCCAGTCATCGACAACGGATAGCAAACAGGATGATTAAAACATCGAGGATGACGCACACAGATATGACCAGGCTGATAACAAGCATTGTTTGGAGGACCACATGCAACAAGTTGAGAACAAGTCGGCCAGAGAAAACCACAAATGCTACTATCATTATCAGTTGTCATACGAAAACACCCACATGCACTATTTGTCGAGCATTTATCATATTGACACATCCGATGACATATTTGAGAATTTACTCGAACTATAGAAAGACTAAATTAAAAGATCAATGTGTCCAACGCAATGAGAATCAAACCTGTGAGGCTAAAATGAAAGATCATGCAATGTTCGATGAATTAAAAAAAAAACAGAAATTAGAATTACCTAAAAAGAACGAATATGAAAAAACAAATTGTTGTCGTAATCATAGCTTGCGTTAAAGTGAGACAATGGTGATTGTATCCCTTTCTTTATTCCTTAACACATGTATAATGTTTTAAAACGTAATCTTCGCAAATTACACAGTATCATCTTTCAATAAATAGGAACTCGATATTGCTTTTACGTTTTTTTAGCGTACTTAATTCTATCCTACCAAAAATGTGATGGTCGTAGAAGAAAAAAAAGTAAGAAATCAACATTCGGATGGGTATAGTGCTTTGAGTGTCGGTGTGGATGTGAGTGTTATTATGGATGTAGAATGTGGATGTGGTGTTTCTCTTCATCTCAATCAACACTCACACACACACTATCAAATTAGCTGATAGTACAAATATGAACAAGCCCGACAACAATTAGAAGTTGAAAGACAAATATTAATTCATTATAGTCAAGGAAATTCTTATATTATTAAAGCTTTTTAGTACAATTCATCAAGAAGTATGTTAGAATTGATTTCTATATGAAGAAATTAAAAAAGAATTTGTTTTTAGGAAAAATTATTTCTTGTGTTATGGAACTTGTTGATGGTGAAAGTTTATATCATGACATTCAAACAATACGTATGAATGAACATGAGATAAGATTTTATTTAACAGAAATTGTATACGTCACAATATTTACATAGTGTTTAAATTTCTTTTCGTTCTGGAATTTCTTTCTCGTTTATAATAGAAGGGAGTCTGTATTTTTTTCTTTTTTCTTTCATCTATCAGTTCAAAGTTGTCTAGGCATTTTCATATTCAGCAGTAATAATTTATTTATAGCATTTCAAGAATGAATACTCAGGACCCATTAAAATTCGATCATGTTAATGCTATAGCGGAACCATAATAAGCGTTATTTCGAACTCGCTTTTAGGCTTCCAGCCAATACAAATAGAGATCAATGTATAACGGTTCTTTCTAAGCACGATCTTTCTTCATTCATTTGTTTTCAGTATCTTTTCGTATCCTTGTCATGAAAAACAAGAAACTAAATAGTTATTTTTCATCTTGGAAAATTTTTCGAGAACATTTTAAAAAAACGTGTTAAATAATTCGAAGGGCGCGGGGTGTGGGTGGGTGTGAGGTGTGTATGAGCCTTCTTTTTACAAAACATTCACACCTACACCCACATCCAAAGAAAACCAAAACATTGCATCTGATATCATTAGATTCTTGTATTTATTATAATTCTTTAATAAGAATCTTGCTACTTTTCAGAAGAAAAAGTGGCAAGCGAATATAGTGTTCTACTAATGTTTTATAGATTTTCTTTCTCTGTAGATAGCTAAGAGAAGATTCTTTAATTCCGTTCCAAAATTCTCTTGTATCTGTGTGGCATAATCTTGAGCTGTTGAATATTGGCCAATAGGCATTCGAATCGTTTTGCCATTGACATTAGTGCTAATAGACAACGTCATCACGAGTCCTTCAATACAACTAGCCAGACACGTGATGATTATCGAATAGGTGGTAGTCGTTCTTCCGCGTAATGAATGATAAGTGAGCACATCATCATTGTAATATTCATTGATCAAACTATGTGGACTATAAACCCATGTACAACTTCCATCGGACCATTCAAATTGGTTTTGTTTATCCTGTAAGAAATATTCCTTTGCCCGACAGAATGCTTTTGCTGCTTTTTCAAAGGCATCTCGTTGAGCATCATTGATTGTGGTAGGTGGCGTCGGTAATGAGTCAGAGATTGATGCCAATTGTTGAAAAATGGCACTTATTGTAGTCAGTTCTGGAACATTTGGTACCAATAATTGATGAATCGACTCTAGTCGACATTCGAGGTCATTGATCGTCCATGGATGGTAGTTTGGATAGCCGAAAGCACAATCAAATGTGTCCATTAGATACGTTTTCAGCTGATTTTGTAAACTTGTCGAGTTGACAGCACCTTTAATCATGTCATTGAGTTTATCGCGAGCTTGTTGATGAGGAAGTTCATCATTCTCACGTCGAGGATCCATCTGTGTCAGTAACCAAAAAAGAATCGCACAAATCCCAGATGCATCAATCGTCGAACTCAATTTTGTGATATTCGTTTGCGGTGCATGATACCATTTCTGTGTTGATGATACAATTGCCGTATCTTTACTGGTCGATACAAAGACAGCATGACTGAAATTCAGCACAGTCAATAGGGCTTGATCAATCGATGTACTGTTTAAATCCCATTCGATCATAATATTTTCAGGTGATAAATTCTGATGGAAGATACCTCTACCATGCACCTGTTGAAGAATTCTTACTAGATTCAGAGTAAGTTGAATGGCTGTTGAAATTTCAAGGACAACTCGATATTTTCGTTCGATGAATTCTTTTAACGAATATCCAGGAGCACGTTTCATAATCATCCATAGATTGGCTTTGTCAAGACTTTGTTGAGTAAGATTGTTCGATATATTCTCTGGTTCAATCAATTGACTGACACCTTGCACATCTGCAACAGAGATGATTAATATAGTTGTGGATCACAAGTATTTTCCTCGATGTTCATCTTACCTTTTAGATGTTTCATTACAGTTATTTCTTGATACAAGTCCTTCAAGGATTGATTCGGGTAAATCTTGATTACGGCTAGACGTTTTCGATCTGCTTTGCCACGTATTAATAATACTTTTCCATCGCTATTGGATGCGCTTTTTGTTATTTCCCATTCATCTGCGGATACATCGCTTGGTAACTGATCTATAACATAGAACTCTAGTCTAGAAGTTCGTTTAATCAATCGTGCAAAGGAACTTACATTTCGCTTCGACCAATGTTGAGATACTTTCTGATGAACTTGCATGATGCAGATTAGTCTTCGATGGAGTTGGAGTAATATCATTAAAAGCTTTGCGAATAATGCGACGGTCTCTCTCCATTTCTCGGTTGTCACATGTTATCGACAAAGTTTTGTCAGTATCACCGAGATCAGATGTTTCTTGACTACTTTGGATACTGGAAGCATCTCGTGGACGACTGCGGCAACGGTTATGTTTCTGTTCTCTATCAGCCAATGCTGCTCGTGATTGAGAGCGATGACGATGAGTGAATAGGATTGGATTGAGTTCTAATTGACATTTTATTAGTTGGCCATCAATGTTTTTATTATGCCATTTTGTCATCAACTGTTTCGCATATTTCATAGTTTTGATTTTGACCACGTAGCCAATACGATCATGTTTTCGATCGACATAATACTTGTTTGAACCAAATCGCTGAGTAAGATTTTGGGATGTGACTTCTGTTTGAAAACCAGTTATTTTGATGCGATAGTCCGTACAGGTTCCTAAAATAAATAATGAAAGGATGAATAGAGTTTTTCCTGTAATCGCTATTAAATTGAAATATAGTCAGTGGAAAGTGTCCTGTGAACAACAAATATACAATATTCCATCTTTACCGATTTTCAATAACCTATTTCTGTGTTTTATTAATTGAGAATTTGACTTACTATTTGGAGAATCATGTTCTGTCTTCATTCCAAATGCATGGCCATAAGGACAAGTCAACGAACAAGCACCATTTGCCGTACAAGGTATATGTTCCCAATGACATTCGTCACTACTTTTTTCACACCGACCAAACTGAAATTTATTACAAAATTCTATTTCATCTTCTTCTTTCTCACATTGAATGATTGATCCTTTGATGCTTTGTTTATTCCACCTTTGACCAAAATTGTTCACTTCTCTTTCATCAATGGCATTTTTCAGCCAACACTCTGTTGACAATGCTCGATCATTGTTGGACGGATTCATAACAATATCATAAATGTCCCAATCGAATTCTTGTGATAATGTCTCGGCATCTATATTCGCCGGTAAATTTGTAATATGAATGCGATATTTTTTTGTGGGTAGACTAAGACATGATACTTGTTCATCTGAATAGAAAACAAAGTAGACTTGTATTCGAGATAAAAGGCATAAACCTACTCATAGTCACGTGTTTCAAATTGGATTTTTTCGATCCTGCTTCAGTGTTATTCTTATCAGTGTGCAGTGCCGGTTCTGGTGGAGCTGAGCTTCTATGCAAGAAATTTTGATGATGTTTCGTAACATTTACATCGATTCCTCCAATACGATGTGGAGAATTCAAAAGAACTTGATCGACTGAATCGTAACTAAACCAAAGCAAACATTAATTCAACAAATTCATTGTATTCTAGCACTTACTAATCAAAATGAATGACCCACGTATTATCTCCATTTTTTGTATGAGTAATGTCAGATATTTTACCATATTGCGAAAAGTAACTGTGGATATCAGATTCGACCAATGATTGGTTGTTTGGACTAGAAACAATCAAACGTTGAATTTCTATATTATCTTTCAGTGGTCCTTGATTTGGGACCGATCGATGAATAAAAACTTCTTTTCCATCTATTTGATGGTAACGTTGTGACATTACAGCATCAACACTTTCTTTGCTGTGAAACATGACGATGCCATGTCTTTTATTTTTACCTTAAAAAGTAAACAACATTTTTTTATAGACATCTCTTCATTTCACTGATAAAATACTGTGTCTGAGCCTTTTTTTTCTTATCAATTAGAAACGATGTTGCAATCTTACCTAATTCATCAATTGGAACATCACACCACTCGATTGGATACTTCGAGAAATAATCTTTTAATGACCATTTTGTTGTATCAGCACCTAATTTTTGAATAAATATTTTTCGTTTGTGTGAATCAAGACCCGTTTCTGATATGTTCTAAATGAATGGAGATCAGAATATCAAGTGAATGTGAAAATACTTTCACCATAGTTATCTATAAGTTGCATTACTTACATTTGTTGCCATTTCCCAAAGATTGTCACAAATTATAAGATTAGTTATACCTTTTATATCTAGAATATAAAAACAGAAAAATTTTGCTGATTCAATATTGAAGAAAATAGGGAATGAAATCTATCCTCTGGTGTCATGTTACCATTAAAGAGAAATGAAAAGTAAGTTTTTTTTTTACAAACCGTTGTGCAGCCACTTGTTTTTGCTTTTTAGAATGAAAACTCTTACAGGACGATTGCTTCAATGAACAGTGAATCTTTATTTTCAAACGTTGTTCATATATAGGTTCATAAAGTGGGAAATACCCAAAGAAACTGGAAAAAAATGCAGAAGCAAGAATGTAAGCGAACAAATAAGATATTAGTTCGCTAGATGTCGTACATATTCTGACATATGGTATTTTCCTTCTATTCTATCCAGGGCTGCCAAATCTCCTGATTTGGCCAGGAGACTCCTGATTTTTAGACTTTTCTCCTGGTGAAAAAATCTCCTGAATTCAGGAGCTGGTTTTTATGATTTTCTCCTGATTTCTCCTGGTTTTTTAAAGGATTTCGTCACGTTTAATTGTAGTGATATTTTGAATCAATAAGACAAAGAAAAAGAGAGCTATCACACTATTTCATAGATGCAATAGACAATAAGAAAACACGTCGTTTCTGCTTGTTATGCCTGATAACATGCGTTTATTTGTGAGCTTATCTTCTTGACGGTTAAAATGTACCTCATGGACAAAAACTAGTTTAGTTCGCTTTTTCTATATCAATCTAGAATGCTGTTTGTGAATTGACCTTCAGCCACATGAAATTTTTGTGGGCTGATAATAGAAACGATTTGAAGTACAATCTTATTGGTGCATAGTTAGGAACTAAATGAATAATCATCTCAGTTGTACAAAGTTCTATAATTATCCTTTAAATAATTCAGACCTATTGAAACAAATTCAGTCTTCAGAAAAATATGGCCATGTTCATAGATGACGAAATGTTTTGGATCTAGGGTAGGCTCAACAATTTTTTACAGGATTCGCACCAGAAAATTAAAAATATGGAGTAAGCCAATTTTTTTGATGTCATCTTGATGAAACAAAATTAGCGTTTCTCATTTCAAACTCGTATTTTGTAATGTATGATGCTGATAGGGATAAGAAAAGCATTTGCAACTTATGCGTCAAAAACGTGCATTTAAGAAAACATGTCGATGATTATCTTCATTGACTTTCAACTCTCACAAGAATTGTTTTCTATCTGCTGTACTAAAAAACGAAATAATGTCTGAGCAACAGTGTCCACAAAAACGATATTACATTATGAATGTTTTTACTGTGTTGAAAAGATTCTGTTCTGCATGAATATTTTTCTATACTCGTCGTTTTCTCGCTCCATTTCTTATGGCAATGGGAACTCTATTAAGTATTGGTGTTCTCGCATGTTTTCTCGTATTTGCATACATATTCAGATACATGTATGTAACAGCTTTCTATTTTTACGTAACTAATCTACTGTAGCTCCAATCATAATTATATTTTTAATTTGAAGTCGTGTCACGGTTATCTTACAATCTAAAACTAAAACAAGAATATGAATTCCTGAAGTCTTATGATTAGAAGTGTAAATCAACGAGCTGAGTCACCGCTGTCGGTGGGAAAAAAATTAACAGTTTTGAAGATTTTTCGACGCCTGAGATCACTCTTCAACGATGTTTCTGTTTAGGTTTTTTATCAGTGTGTTCTCTACCATTGTTTTCTCAGTTCTTCTTCAGAATGCACACACCCTATGCACACATTGGCTGGCACGACAATGAGTGTGAATGAAGGGGTGTGCGTATTCTGAAGAAGTACCGTTTTCTCTATTTCCATCCGATAATTTCTCGGAAATAAGAAAATCTTAAAAGAATCGTCCAACAAATTCACTCGCCTCCGCCGACTGACTAAAAAAGTTGAGTATTTTCAGTCGCTACTGAAAGAAAAAAATAATAAAATCACACTTACACACCACCGATCTATGAATTGGTTTACGCTTCTGCTTACGGAAGTGAAAATAAATTTTTTCTGGGAATGAGAGTGTAAGAACAAGAATAACAATTTTTTTCTGAGAAAGACAGTGTAAGAACAAGATCACAAGTTTTTTCCGAGAAAGAGAATATACTGGCGAGAACAACAAATTTTTTCTGAGAACAGAAAGAATAATCGAGAAAAGTTGTTCTCATAACACTAATGATCGGGTAATGTAAACTTAGTTGCTAAAAATGATGAAAGTCTTTGGCAGATACTACCTGATATGATTCAGGTTTTTTATGCAGTACTTCGTCACTTTTAACGAAAGAACCCCACTTTAAATCATGGCTGACCTAAGATTTGACATTTATCCATACACAACTAAAAGTTTTCTCAAAAACAGTTTCTAGGTCTGTTTCAATAAATGTTACTATTTTTTGCCGATAGCGACAAAAAAATCTTGACGTCTGTACAAATTTTTTATGTACTGCACAAACCTATCAATTTGACGTAGTAGAAAACAATTATTTGAGCGTATCATAGTCTATAGAATCTGAATCTAAGATAGGCTTTAGTCTACTCAAGCCGTGTGATTCCATCATCTACGAATAGACGCTATCTAAGCCTTCATTTATTCCATCCACGAGCCTACCTAAGCCTTTAGCTGTCCGACGTAGAGTAGGCTCGAGCATACTCAGGACTTGCGACCCCTTCGTTCATGGTCATGTTACAAAAGTGGCATGAACGATATAGCTGATAAATTATTGTTCATGTATGCCCATTTTGTTTAGTTACATATTGATGTCTAATTAAACTTCATTTTCTATTTTGTCGGTATATTTTGATAAACCACTGTGAAATGAGTAGTAAAATAAATTCCACATAATTATGTTTTTTAAAAATATATATCATTTAGAGGAAATTTTGTCATCAAAGGACATAACGAGTGATTAGATGAACGAAAACTTCAGTTTTCTTTAAGAGAAGACCACGAATTCATTTCCTGATTTCAATAAACATCTCCTGATTTTTCTCCTGATTTTTCTCCTGATTTTTCAGTAAAAATCCCGTGGTAAACTCCTGATTTTTCGCAAAAAACTCCTAGTTTTTGAAATTTGGATTTGGCAGCCCTGACTCTATCGTTCATGTTCTTTTCCTTTCTTTGTACTTTACTTCTCTTCTTTTCTTGTTATTTGATCTATCTTTCTTCAACTGTTTTTTTCCAAGTATATCCTACTGTAAGGTGAGAATAGACCAAGAAATAACCACCTTCCTTTTTCCTTTCTTTTTCCCTATATACATAATCGTGTTTTCGTAATAAAGGTTATTAATCTTAAAACGAGAAAAGAAATCTCTTTGACCATATCAATACACCTGTAATAAAGAACACTTGGAAAATTTCAATACAAACAGCATGATTGAGCAATAGATGAATCAAAGAAACGAGAAATTTTAAGCTTTGTCGTAGATTTCATGCCGATGCGATAGAAGAACGAAGAAAAGAGTTGACAGTATTGCACAATATCACGTCATACTATAGTCTCAAAAACACATCTTGAGGGGTGTGGGTGTCAATGTGGATGTAGATGTCGATGCGTGCGTAAATGATTCACACCCACACCATCCACGCCAATACCCAATCTACACCCCATTTGCTTTCACTTCTTGTGTGATTTCTTTCCATCTCCTCAATATAATTTCTATGTCTGCTACAGAAGACAAGACTAAGCCAAAATGCAAAAAACCGGAGAAGATGGAACAGCAAAGGAAAAGTAGAGAATTGTCTGCCAACCACTATCTAACGGAACACTAAACAAACACACAAATTCAAAACTGATGGCCGTTATACTATTTGCTGCTCTTTTACTTATTTGCCAAACAACTTCAATGGATTCCTACTCGTAAGTGAATGCAAATGCAATAGGTAATAGTGAGTGTAGGTGGGTGTGGATGTGGGTGGGCTGTGGGTGTAGGTGGATGTGGATGTCGGTGTAGGTCTAAGAGTATGGTAGGCATACAATCCCACCCACACCCTGCAAGATATTATTATTTCTATTATTCCAGTGTTGTCTACGAATCCTAGTAAAATCATACAGCACTGAAGTAATGATGTAATTTACTTGTCTCGTTGAAGTGTCATTCAGTAGCGTTTTTCACTTTCATACAATTATCTTATTAGTTAATGAGAAAGTGAAGTATAGCCTGAAATTAGGAGAGGTAACGAAGTAACAGATCAAAAATGTGATTTATCTTTGCTTCATAAATTACTTCATCGTGTATCCTGTGCAGTTCCATCGCAACTTTTATCAACTAGTATTTTATTCTGAGCATCATATTATTTCTAATTTTAGATTCTGTTATTGTTTTTAGTAACGAACTTTTTTTTTATTTCTAGAAAGCATCTGATTTAAAAGTCCACACTATACTTGAATTCTATGCCACAAAGTGGAAAAATTATCGGTCTTTAAGGTTGTGGGTGTGAATTTTAGTTTGTTTCTAACCGAAGTCACACCCACACCCACGCTTCCACCCACACCCCACACCCACCCACATCCACACCCACCACACACATCCACAGCCACCCACACACCCACACCCACCCACATCCACGCCCACCACACACCCACACCCACACCAGCCACACACACCCACACCCACCCACACCCACGCCCACACCCGCACCCACACCAGCCACACACACCCACACCAACCCACATCCACGCCCACTACACGCCCACACCCGCACCCACACCAGTCACACACACCAGCCACACACACCCACACCCCGGTTCGCATCCATTTTTCCGATGACAATGAGTTTCAATGATAAGCCCGGATATGCAGTAATACAATTAAATGAAAGTATTAATTGTTTTCTTCAATAGAGAGATTAGTATCTTTTACGTACTTGAGCTTCGATTGCAGAAATTGAAAGAAAAACATGAATTTAACAATGGGAAGATAGGGGTATCTGAAGTTCGGTCGAAAAGTTAAAATGTCGAACAGTATATGTGTTAAAAAAAATTGGAAAGATGCCGAATGTAAAAATGTAGAAAGCTGAGAATATCGAAAGTTAAAAATATTGGAAGGAGGGATAGTATTCAACTGATATGGATTATATTTATTTTTTGATGAAATTCAATATGTATCTTGAAGGAGATAAGAATTGAGCCATGCACGAGAAATAAATTAAAGACAATTAAGGTATGGGTGGGTGTGGGTCTTCTTTTTATCAGCACCCTCACCCACACTCTGTATAAAATAGACCAGGATGAAGGGTGTGAGTGTGAGTTAAATCCTCCCTTCAATCACACTCACACGCCACACCCACACACAGCATGTTCGAAAACACTAATATAATAGCTTCAGATAGCTTTCAATATAAGAACAAAGGTTACCACTCGACTCAACTTGGTCGATTATCCCTATCCTAACACATTCTGCCTTGGTTACAGCTCGTTTGGTTGATTTTGGAGGTCTCAGAAAAACGAAAATAACTTCTGAACGAAACAAACTAGAGAGCTCGACCTTGTTGTAGATCGAAAGAGAATATTTTTTTCTACCTAATGATTGAATTTGAAGTCAGAGCCCAATGGTGAAAATTTTCACAATACTGTTTACAAAACGTCGACCATATCGTTCACCTGATTGATCAATTAATGATCGATCAGATTTTGACTTACTTTTATGAAGAAAATAATTTCCTTTCCCGTGCTGAAAGCCGCAGACCTCTATCTTGTTTCTATCAACATTTATTGACAAAATAGTCACTTGTCATATATTTTGATGTCGATATTAGCTTTCTTTAGTTCGCGTCATTTTATTTACGAAATATCAATTAAAACAAAATTTTTCTTTTTATAAAATTAATTTCGACGAGAACTTGGTATTGAAGTTAATAGTAATTGATCTGTAGAAAATGAATAAGTTGAGTAACGTATTTGATCAGAAATTCTATCTATAAATTAATGAATTTTTATGATACAAGAAAGGATGAAAGGAATATGTATGTACTTGTTTCTTTAAAACGATAATTTCTACAGAATGGAAGATAATGACGAATATTTCCGTTACGTATAACATATATTAAAGGATTCCACCTAAATAACGAAATAAAAACTATTTTCTCCGTAAAGAAAAACAAAAGAAACTTACACAAGACTTGTTTTAGCAAAAATCGCTGGTATTGTTCCGAGAATAGGCGAAAAATACTCAGCATCAATAAAGGCACGAATAAAACTCATTATTGAATATGGAGTCCAAGCAAGAAGATAACCACCTTAAGAGTAGCAAAAAAACATATTCAATTCAATTCTTTTCTTTTTGTTCAAATCTCTACTACTATTACCAATGATGAAAATAACAGTGTACGTTATACGACGTTCAATTAAATATTGACGATGAGCATGAGATTCACCTAAATTTAGACCTGTGCGACGTCGACGTTTACGAATCTAAAAAACATTTTATATATTCTCTTTATTTTTATTTTCAAATTAATAAAAGATTTACTTACTACATGAAAAGCACTTATATTCGTTACAATAATAATAATAACTGGTATTAGGTAAACAAATATAAAAATAGTTAGATTATAACTAGTTACATTCAATGATCGTTCTTCCCATTTTACACTACAAGATGCTCCAACACCCTATAAGTACATGATTATATTTACTAAAGAAAAAGAAGCAAATCGAAATGAGACTTCATAATCATAGCTAGACCATCCAATAACCGGAAGTAATGTCCAAAATAAAGCTAATAAATAACCACATAAAACAGTTATATAAGCATGTTTAACCAATATAACTGACGTTGAACACAATCTTGTCACAACAAAATATCTGTTAAATACAATCAAATCTTCTATTTTCATTTAAAATAATCAAAGATTTTCTTGTATACCTATCAATAGAAATTAAACACAACATATACATATTTGAACAACCAGCAAAATAAGCTATAATAGCTTCTAGTACACAACCAACATAACTAAACATCCATCTGAAGTAAAAAGTGAATGAAAAAGAAACAAATGTTTAAATAAAAATTTCAACCTGCATCCTACGAGTGCAATAGCTGATAATGGTATTTCGAACAAAGCTCCACAAAAATCTACTAATATCAAACCACAAATGAATATATTCGTTGATGATTGACGTAAATTTTTATATCGTATAAATACATATAATATGTAAGCATTTAGACTTGTACCAATAATCCAAAGAACTAATAAATAATATCCAAGAGGTCGTAGAATATAACATGGTTCTAGTTGTTTAGATGAAGATATATTATTATACAAAGACATAGATACATTCATTGTATAAAATAATTAATATTAAACCTTGTGCAGCTACTAGTTTAAAAAAGAAACAGTAGTTACAAAACAGAAAATTGTTCTAAACTGAGATGAGAAAGAAAGCGTTATGTTATATTATATAAACTTGAGCAGCGTAAAAAAATAGAAAAGTTAGAAGAGTTTTTATAGTGAAGACTTATTTGCTTCTTCTCTTCGTTTAATTCTGCTCTATCTCATAATCGTCTTTTCCGTTTTAGTATTTTTCTCATTGCCTACTTTCATTATAGTCTTTTCCACAAAATAAAATAAAGAATATAGATGTCTATTAATATCCAATAAACTGATTAAAAACAATATAATGCCGGGTACGACAAATAATTTTTCTTTGTTTTATGATAAAATAAAACTATGAAATCTAACCGACACTTTCTTGTAATTTGATATCATATCCTATTCTATTCGTTTATTTTATTAATTATTCATAAATATCTTGTATGTATAGTTAATAATTAATGAAACTACTTTTCTTTTTTTTTGTCTTTTGATGTAAATGAAGAAGTACTACACAAAAATCTTATGCATGTTACTTAACAAAAAATCTGATTCTACGAAAACTCATTAACCAATTAGATAGATATGAATTGAAAATAATACGTTGTCTATTAAAATTTTATGTCCTATGACAATTACTTGAATTCGTTTATTTATATACTGAAACTCGAACTGTTGAAACGTTAGTTATAGTGTCAAAACAGTACTCACAGGTACTTTTTTTGTTATTTACTTTAATTTCCGTGTTAGTCATGTAGAACATCTTCAAAGGCACTTTGTCTAGTAAACAAATTGATGAGTGTTATACAATTGAATAAAGACAGACCTGCGTTTTCGAAACAGTGATAATAGAAGACTCATTATCAATTGCATACTTGTCTTATTTATACTGGCTTCTGTATTCATTCTTGCAAATACTTTTAAATTAACATAAAAGCTTGGAAAAAAGTCATAAATGTAATAAATTAACTATTTTTTCAACACAATGCTCATAAATATATTAAATTGAAATGAATATGTTTTCTTTTCTTTACTCGAATCATCAATTAAACAGGTGCCATCTTGAATATTAATCATATTGAATTAATTTTTACTATTTTGTTTTAATTTATTATAATATTTTCATAGTCACATAAAAATCTAGTCAAACGATAATAAATTATAGAATTAAATGAACGTTCTATAATCCTTCGGCGTGTCATTTTGCTCTTCACATGCTATATTAATTCATATGCACTATGTAGAAAAATTATTTGGACACCTTTGGACCCAATTTTGTGTAGCGAATTTTACAACGAAGAAACAACATTTTCTAAACTTTGATTACACCATTCGATAGGGTGTAGGTTGTGGTTATGGGTATTTGTGGACGAGGGTGTGGGTGTGACTCTAGTCATTTTCCGCATCAACAGCCATAGCCACACACTCTTGACGAAATCTGTTCATCATTATTGATAGAATGATGAGATAAATATCTGTAATAACACTCAACACAAAGTTATGATTATAACTGCTGTAAAGCCTTGTCTTGTGAAAAGAATGGCATGAGAAGGATTATTACGTAAATGGTGTTTGTAAATTAGCCTTTCATCGATCAGTGATAACTTCAGATAAAAATTCATAAATATTTACTTCTACCATAGGAAACATCGACAAAAAATCGTTTTTAGATAATTTCTCACTAAACGATTGTACCAATAAAGATCGATAATGTCACATAATATAGTCAATTGACACCATACAGTAAAATATGCAGATAGATTTGAATTATTTAAAACCGGATTTTGGACTACAGAAAGTATATACAATGGAGACCATCCTCTTACAAAGATTAAAAACATAATAATCATATGTCGAACTAGATAAACATCACGTCGACTAATTCTTTGTTGCCGAATATGATTAAGACGGTTTTCCGTTGTCGGCAATGCAGATGGTTGAATGCGATGAGATGATGAACGAACAGTACCGTATATCAGAATGTTAATAATCAGAAAAACGATTGATGGAACTATTACAATAACTATCAACTTATATATTTCGACCCATTGTGAACTAGCACAATTCTATTTAAATAAAAAAGTAGAAAACAATGAAATGTGAGATGTACATAACTCATAGTTTAATTTTTCATTGTTTTAGATATGGATTGATAGAGCTTCAACAGCTGCTACGACTATATAATTTTTATTTACACTAGGTGTTATGTCTTCATCGAAAAAAAGCTTGAAAAACTGATAGGACTGAAGATATAATGAAACTAAATTTTTTTCTTAACTCTTTTAGCATGGTTTTCTTTACTAATTCATTATCAAAAATTGAATAGAAAAATGCCATTTTTTTTATAATTGAAATAAATAATGAGGAAAATCACTATGAATATAGATAGGGATACTTTTGTAAACCTATCTAGTTTTCAGTGTCAGAGAATCAGACCAACCATCTTATCTCACTTCGATTAGCTGTTTTCAATGTACAGAAATTGCCATATATTTTTTTAGATTGCATTTGCTTGTTTTACTAAAAGAAGAATCAAAAACGACCTTGCTTATTACAGTTTGAACATTATGAAAACTCAGTTGACAAACGAAATAAATAGCATATTCAATATTAGCATACAAAACTGCATTAGGTCACATATATTTGAGCGAAATCACTTTCCAAAGAAAATTGACTATTACCATTCAGTAGCTTTCTTCTAAAATTGAGCCTGTGACTACCATGAAATCGATTTTTCCATTGACGCAGAATTCACTTCAATGTATGTGTTCCGATGTAGATTTTCATGCTAATTCTCAATATGCTGTTTATTTTACTTTCCCACTGAATTTTCAGAGTATAGGACACTGTAATACAAAAAGGTCATGTTTGATCTTTTAACTCCTAAATGAGTACTTTTGTGTGCCGAAGTCATCTTATTCAAACATGAAAACACATTTGGTCTTATCTTCGGTCACAAACACTAGGCAGATTTATCAAAGTGCCTTTATAAACTTATACTATAATCCTCATCTAATTGAGATAAAATGTAAGGATGCATAACTAATTTAGCTGGTCAAGCTCTATCAAAACATACATCAATCAATAAAAAATAAAATCCACTTCAATGTTAAGTTATCTAAAGCTTTTATTATTAAAGAAAAAAAGCTTACCGGTTCAATGCTAAAAAGAACTGGTATTGTCAAAAGGGCACCCCATATCCATTGACATAAAATACAGATGAATACCCATCGTTTTGTTTTAAATAAGTTCCTATTGTAATATGCTACAGAACAAAAACGATTAATTGAAGCTGTAACAAAACTAAAAGGAACTTGAAAAGTTATTAACGTTGCTAAAATAAATACAAATGTGCATGAAGTAAACATAAATTGATAAATAAGTATAGCATTCAATTTCAGTATTGTGTAAAAAACAGTCCAGAAGAGGGCACAACACATAGTAACCGAACATATATTAAATGTGAGCATCATATCAGGACGATGAAAACGACGAATAAATATAATCGGAACCAAATAAATGACAGCAATGAGAGTAATGATTGCGAATAAAATTATTCGAAGAAGAGAAAATATTTCATCAAAATCCATAATGTACTTTCAATTGAGAAGTTTCGTATAAATAAAGCGACGTTTTGTTTAGTTGAATATAATAATTGTCAGAAATTTTAGATTTTTCTTTTACTGACTAAAACAATAGATATAAATAAAGTGTGTATAATACAAAACTCGAGTGGATTTTTTCTCCTTTATTTTTATATTGTAATAGAACTTGATATGCTGCTCACGAATGAATATTTTTTATTTCCATTAATTTATTGTTGAGTAGAGAAAA